GCAGCGTCCCATAAGCAGCTTGGTAAATGATCGTTGGACATTTTCTAGAGCCGTTCTGTCTTTCTTTCTCAATTGGCTGTGAACGATAGTACAATATTCCAGAGTCGGTCGTACAATTGTCTTGAATGATTCAAGTCGTACTTCAGGTAGGGAGAAAGTTCTGGTGATATATCCGCATAGCTGCCTTGCTTTTGCAACCTGATAAAGAACATGTTCGGAGAAATTGAAAGAGTTGGAGTACCTAATTCTTAAGTCTCGAACTGAATCAGACGTTGGGATCACGTTTCCTGCAAGTATAATGGAGCCTTCTGGGATGCAGCATCTGTACCCAAGTACTTGGGATTTCACTGCAGAGAAATTCATTAATAAACGCTCACTAGCTATATTTAGTGCGGATAGGTCTTCACAGATGTTTCACGAGTTGGAAGGCTGATTGAAACGTGTACGTTTTGTCTGGTCTGAGTACATGTACACTCGAGTGAATCGGGTTTTCAGCCTTCCGTAATTTCAGCCTTTAATAATTATAGGGACGTTGGGTCCCCATAACACGGTTAAGTAACTGATACTGACCAGTTTGCATTAGCACTTTCACCCGATGCATGCGGTCTCCGTCTGTGGCAATACGATGGCTTTACACGGCGCCATCCTAAGCGTACGGAGGTAATAATGGCAACACGGCATTGTAACCGTCGGTCAGCAGCCATCTGCTGCTGATCACTTTGCAAAGCAATATTCCAGCGACGTTCATAGAGATGACGCTGAAGCCGGTTGCCGGCATGGCTAAAAGATTGCGATCAATACAGAAGCGAAGTAGACAGAAAGTGAATGTCCAACTGTGTTGCAATGCTTCCGCACCGGGTTAAAATGATTATAATATGTCGCTTATGGGATACTGGCACGAATTGTGAGTTACCCGTCAGGAATGCAATCACCGTTAAGGCAGCCATACATGGTGACATATAGATTTTTTGTCGTGTGTCCTTTCTCTCATCAAGTTCACGTCAACGCCAACCACGCGCTTTCTTCATCCACATGGCAATCGTGTGCCGTCCACCGTTGGCTAATAAACACGCAGCACCGCGCTCGAAATGCTACGTAGATGCACTGTGTGAAATTTAACCCTCGTAGTAGGTCACTTTCTTGTTCACCTAAATTAAGGGGTTATTGCTTTGATTGGCAACCGCGAGCACTATTGCCCTCGCCTTCCTTATACCGACGGTCCCTTGTGTGCAATCGTGCAGTAGATACCCGGGTAGCGGCATCAGAATAGAGAACTGGGGGCGGGTATTTCAGACGGTCTGCAAGCCATCCCGCGGTGTATCCTGTAATCGTGTAACGAACAGGGTGCCGTCCCCTGCAAGCAGGAATCACTCCGCATGGTACACAACACATCAGCATGTAGCGCACCCGCAGACGGACCATCCGTATGCAACCCTATCATTGATGTACACAAGCCAAGTTGCAATGCAACATGAAGGGGGATCATGCGACATGTGAAATGTCGGTCCACTGTGACCAACATTCCTTTTTGGAAACAGGGAACCTGGTCTGGGAGGTGCACCGCCGCGATGCAAGTAATATTTACCTCTGACAAATGAACATCACTTCTGTGTCGTCCGCGGCTGTATCTTTGCTGCATATTGTGCATGCAATTTTTCCCTGCCGTCCCATCTCCAGTCGATACGTTTTGATGCTGAGATCGCTGCATAAGAGAATCTGATATAAAATGCGCATTTTTTCCATGGGTCTGATTGCATAAGGGTTTCACACGGAACGTACATAAGTCGTCGGGTAGTTGTACTAAATACGCCATCTCCTCCGTATCTTCGGAACTTTGTGTGTCACGGAATAATTTGGCATCCTCGAAGTACTCTGCGCAGTTACTAACGGAGCATTTGCTTACCACAATGCATTAGTACTTTCACTCGATGAATTTTGTCACCGGCGGTAGCAGTGTGATAGCTTTGCGCCGCGCCATCATAAGCGTACGGAGGGATTGATGGTAGCACCGCAGTGCACCCGTCCGGCAGCAGCCATGTGCTGCTGATGACTTCGTACACAGGAATTCCTGCAATCTCTATAGATAACGCAGAATTCTGTTCCGGTCATGGCTGCAAGAGGGGCGTGATAACGGAAGAAAGGTAGTCAAAACGGAACGTGTTCCCGTTACAAAGCACACACAGGGTGCGGAAAGGAGGAAAAAGTATTTGCTTACTTTACACTTTCACCACTTACGTGATGCCCGTCAGCATATTCAGTATCGCCAGTACCGACGCACATCGTCCGTTGAGCCTTTAATCTGCTGCGTAGTTGTTTCCTATTTAGCGGAGAAATCAAGGCGGTATAGGAAGTCAAGGAGCATCAATGGCGACAAAGATCAAGTGCTGCAATCAAGTTCATGTCAATGCTAATCACGCGCTCTCTTCATGCACAAGACAAACATGTACCGTGCACCGCTGGCTAATAAACGCCCTGCACTGCAATCCTACGACCGCAGATGCAGAGTGTGAAGGGGAATTTCCCCTGGTGTGAGTTACTTACGCTGCATGAATACACAGATGTGTTTGTCACATAAGGTTTCGCTAAAGTGGCTTCTGATGAAACGAAATCGATGCACCTGGGATCTCATGAGAGTTGGCATTCCTTTCGAAGGTTGCGTAGAAGCGCAGCTCACCAATTGTAATCCTTCCTAAGAAGAACCCATTTCAATTGTCTTCCCGAATCTCCGAGAGTGTCCTCGATCGCAATTTGTTCTCACACCGTTATCCATCAGCGTCAGCCTCCCGAAGGTTTGGGCTTTCCGCTTCATAGTGTCGCTCCTCAGTACCTGTAACGAACAGAAAGTGGGAGACGATTAGGTTTCCCGCATATATACGTCATAGCACTTCAGTGACCCACGCGATGACCAGTAGAGCTAACTCAGAGATGTCACGGTCTGCTAATCCAAGACGACGAAGAGCTCCACCATAGCGCTTCCAAATATAATCACGGTTCGAGATGATGTTTAGCCATTGTACCACATTGGTCATTTGCACACCCTCGTCACCAAGGTAGACCCGTATGGAATTGCATGCCCCATATACTTGGCAACTCTCTCACGGTATGCCAGCTCTCGTCTGTGCGCCGATGTGCTAGCCACGTCTGCAACAATTATCGACCCTTTGACGCAAATTATGTGGTCCGATTTACAGTATCGCACAGGTAATATAATGATGGGCTCAACGTATACTGTCTCATGCTTCCGCTTGGCAAGCTGGGCAGTATTTGCTACTCCTCGATTGTGTCTCATGCACCGGGCGTCCTGGTTAGGGCAACACCTCTGCAAGATGTGCCCGACAGACTCTGGCTCCCCACAACCACCACGGCACTTGACATCATCAGCCATCCGGGAAATTTCCCTGGAGCTCCGCACCTTCGTAAGCAAGAGTCCGCCCCTTAACCTGGTTACAGGAATAAAGAGGCGGGGGAAGACCCTGCGGCAAGATGACATGTATCAGTTGCTAGCCGCGTCTTGTTTGTCCAGTTTTAATCCTTTACAGTCACACGACGATTCACGTTTCTCTCTACAGAGACCCTGAACGGCCATTTTATCCTCCGCCGCAGTCGCCATTAGACGGACTGGAACATTTGCGTTTCTGATGTCGCCCTTGCACCCCTCTGTCTCCCGAAGGCCCCGCACTAACGGCGATGGCCATGAAGATAGCCGACCGAACTTGGCCCTTTGAGTAAAAGGAACAAGAAGCCTCCACGACAGCAAGCCGAGACCCTAGCCCAGACTCGTGTAAAGGGAATAGAGCGTTCAATGAGAAACACCAAGAATACAAGAAGTAAATGGAACGATTCAACGTTATACTATCTTACCCGCATTGGGTAATGAGTGAACGGCTTCGAGTGCAAGATCCGGAATTCCACGACAAATGGTACAGTGAGATGCAGTTTACCGGCATCGAAACACCTGCTCCAAAAATAAACAAATCTTCCGCTGAAATACACGCACAACGTATACGTCGTGTTTTAAGACGAGCAGCTGAACATAACGTGGACTTGGACGTTTCACAACCACGTAACTAACCCTCTTCCATGATTGACGATATCTTAGAACCATCCACTAGTGCTGCTCCAATACCATCCACCAGCATTTCGGCCATCAACGAAGCCGATTTAAAGGAAATGCTTGACACACTACCACAGTCTATTACACCAGTTTCCGATGACATTTCACCAGCTCCTGAAGTTGACAATGTCTTTCTACAGGACGTCGTTGAAAAGATTACGTCTACAGACAATCTATGGACCTTCATATACAGAGGACCTAAACCAACCATTCTATCAAATAACCGTATAAATGCCGTTTTAATACAACATGATGATCACTATCATGCCGATTTCCAAACCATGGTCCAGAATAGGAACCGAACACTCCAACATCTTCTCTAAGTACTATCCATCCCGTCTAATTATATGTTCGACATCCTAACAACAATTCAGCCCATCGTTGACTGGTACCGATTCGCACCGTATCTCGCTCGTACTGGTTACACCATACAGGTTATTGGCAACAAGCTACAACATTTAGCATCCCATATTCGGCTTACTACTGTTGATCGAAAAGGCTGTGCTCAAGTTAATCGAGACTCGGGGAAAACGGAATACCAAAACATTAACAGAGCTAAGCGTCTTGACCTTCTCGACGAACTTATAGAAACACATCGTTGTACCCATTTTAAAGATCTGAAACGCCGCATTACACGTAAACAACGTCTTACATTATACAGAGACTTTGGTATACAATGGGAGGAAACCGCTAAACAGTGCATAGAAGCTTATAACGAAGAGTTATACAACAGACACACAAACATCTCCTTCGAGGAATACACTGAGGAAAATGATCACTTCTCTGTATGCTCCCATCCTACTACATTAGATGATCCCGTTTATGACAGCCTACTACTTGCTGATAACATCGATAAGCTAAATTCTGCAAAGCCGTTCATCAGGTTATGAATAAGACCATCGGAGGTCGTACTACCACTGGCAAGTCTCTATTCCTCAAACGTATTTCGCAGAACTGCCATTGTGGTACTGTACAACGCTTCGGTGATCACTCGCAATTCTTTCTACAAGACCTCGTTGCCAAGGCCCTAAATCTAATGGAAGATCCCCGCATCACCATACAAACTGTTAACGATTTTAAAGAATTACTCGGCGGTAGTCCATTCGATATACACGTCAAACATTCACCTGATGTTACGCCCCTACGCCTACCTGTTTTAATTTCAACCAATCACAGTCTAGGCACCTATATCAACTCCGTCGACGCTGCCGCTATATATGAACGCCGCCACACATTCAAATTCACTGTTCGTGTCGGCTCACCTGAACTGCGTAAACCAGGGTAAACACTTTGTGCCTGTCATTTTGCGCATTGGTGTATGGCTCTTGGTGGAAAGCGAATTCAGGCTGATACGACGGACCAAGATGAAGAGCACGGCGACACGGGAACTACCACTGCTAAACGACTACGACTCTTTCGACCCTCTTACGCTTCAACTACCATTACCATTACAAGAAAACAGCATCTCACCATCAACCAATACAAGCCAGGAACTACAATCGACGTTTATTCCATCACATGCCTGCCAACATCAACCTTCGAATTCTGGGCACTCGCTGGAGACCAACGCTATCATGAACCATACGCCACATTACGTCACGCATTCCCCATGTGCTCTTTTGACCATGCTATTATACGCCTTAGCAACTATATTCCCCTCCAAAAATCCCTACAGACAACTGCAGCATTTGACGTCACATCTTTTAACCAGTCACCGTATCTATACATCGCAGAGGACGACAGTGGTTTAATACCTATAGTCAAAACCAACGTCACTGAAATTGCTCTCCTCAACCAAGACTGCAAAGTCCAAAGCGACACATACTGGACCAATACATACGACCAAGGTCTACTAGCCTGTAACAATGTACAAATATTATCCTCAAACGGAATTTACTTTAAAAAGTTGGATTTCGGCTACAACAGACGGTTCCTGTTCAAAACTCCCATTGATATATTAAATGGATACAACTATATGCCCGGAGATTACTGTTCAACAACAAGCCCTTATCCCATGCCACCCTTTTGGCGACAACGTGGAATAGACACTCCTGTACCACTCAGTGGTAACATTGCCTCTGCATATTCATTTGATACATACAATCACACCATCAACCCCATTTTCCTTTTCCTCCCATATATTGAACCCGTATCCTCATCCGAAAATAGTGTACGCATGATGGCTCACGTCCTCCTTGAAACACAACTCACTATGACCCTCTACACACTACAAGACAATTATACGGCATTGAAAACTATCACTGCAACTTACCTTAACAATAATACATGTAATTTACTATCTGGTGCTTATACTGATACCACACTTTGCTTTCCCACATATAGACGTCACGCATAAAATGTTCCTACAAATCTACATGTCTTATCCTCTAAGAACCTCAGTTCGGCTGGCAACCGCTCGATTGCCATACATTAATGTTACTCCTCCTCATCACCACAGCACGAAAAACTTTCTGCTGCTGCTCCTCCTCACCTCATCTGCTATTTTTAGTAAGTGTTAGTCCGTTCCGAGTAACTTGCAATTTTGTTTAGACTGAGTCGCGAGCCAGGCTAGGTCATTCGGTCATGCGGACCTACGGTCCGTGCGCAGCTTATCGGAGGTACGGAGTGGAGTTTCGTAAACTCTGTTGATAATGATCGAGAAATACATAGACGTGGTAGGAAGAATTTATGGGTGACAGAAAAAAGTAAGAAAATGGAGGGTTGTGTCAGTGTACGAGCCAGTATTAAGTGTTAGCTGATGTCCAAAACATCAAGTGTGCTGGCAATGTTTCGCCAGCCGTCTTGATGCGTAGTGAGGGTTAGTGTGGGTTATGTTTCTAGTAGTTCGTGTCCCATCATTCGAAGTATATCCTCGTATGTGGAAAACGGGTCAATATATTGGAGAAATAGGAGAATGGGATTTAGAGTGTGGTTGTATGTGCCAAAGGACCATGCAGTGGAAATGGTTGTGGGGTGTGTGGCAGGAACGCTTTGGTTTAGGGATTGTTGTTTCCAGATTGGGAGGAAGGGGTAGCGTGATGTATTGGCGTAGTAATCTTCAGGCATGTAACGGTATCTACGGGGCACCGGTAATGGTGTTCTGGTGAGGAAACGGGGGTGGTGATGAAAATCAAAGTGTTTAAAGTATACCTCATTAGCGGATAGGGTGTGGACGTCGTTGCAGGCAAGGAGACCTTGGTCGTAGGTAAATTGCCAGTATGTGTTGGAGCTGACTTTTGTAGTCTTGATTCAGGTGTGCCGCTTCGGTAACGTCGGTGGGAACGGTATTGAGTAGTCCGGTGTGGTCTTGCGCTGTATACATGTAGGGAGCGCTATTGAACGCCGTAACATCTGTGGCCGTAGTACCTTGAAGCGACTTCTGTGGCGGGATATAATGTGATAGACGGAGAGTAGCGTGGTTAAAACTGCACAAAGGAAATGCTGCTCGTAAGGTTGCAAATCGTTCCGCGTACTTTTGTTCGCATTGGAGGGTCCAGAATTCTCAGTTGGAGATAGGTAGACAGATAATGGAATAGGTGAGGGTGGTATCTGCTGGTTTGTATTGGTTGATGGTAAGGTGTTGTTTCCTTGTAATGGTAATCGTAGTAGTATTATAGGATGGTCAAAGGAGTCGGATGCGCTTGGCAGTGGATTGTGCGGTTTCTCTGGGTGCGTCATCCTCTGACGTGGAATTGACAGCGGTTTTCTTCCCACCAGCTACCATACCAGGCAGAGAAATGACACGCACAGAAAGTGGTCCGTGGTTCTGGCAGTTCAGGGGTTTCTATTTGAACAGTGAACTTGTATGTGTTGCATCGGGCATATATAGCAGCGGCGTCGATGGGGGTGATGTATGTACTTAGGCTGTGATTGGTGGAAGTGAAAACGGTTACGGGACGAAGTCATACATCAGGGGAGTGTTTAACGTGGATATAGAACGGTGTGCCCCCTAATAATTTGAAGTCCTGAACTGTTTGTATGGTGATTCTTGGTTCTTCCATGAGGGCAACCGACTTGTCAAGAAGGTTTCATAGAAAGAATTGGGAATGATCACCTGAGCGTTGTACGGTGCCAAGCTGGTGATTTTGACAAATGAACTTAAGCATGAGAGACTTGCCAGTAGTCGTTGGATCTTGGGCAGGCAGTAGTGTAATTGACGTCGGTCCAATTGTTTCTGTGGTGTTACCTAATATGTAGTTGCGGATAGTCGGAGTGCATAACATATTGTCTCCCCTACGCTATTTACCTTTCCATTCTTATCATATACATATCCCTTCCTAATAAACCCTATTTATACATAGTTACTACTCTCTTCTCATTATACAATTTTCTTTTATAAATATTGCGATGTATATTTATACTCTCCAGTCCGATTATCAGGTATATATATAGTAAATATATCAATATTCATAGAGGAACATAGACCTTTAGAGTCTATATACGTCTACGCGCATAGATCTGTTTCGCGTTGTTAGAGACGTCCTCATTTACAAACTCAAACTATCCATTTCGGTATCGGATGTCAGCTCATAATGAGATTATTTATTTTGAAAAGTATTGATTTATATCTACCCATTTTGGTTTTAGCCCGCGTTCGCTCGTAAATCATCCCTTTTGCGCTTGCTCCCGCGCGGGCCCACCCCCCCCCTTCTAAAACAGTGTCTTATATAGTGTAACCATTATATACCTTTTCGCTCTTTCCTCTGTCTGTTTACTCAATTGATCGTCGAAGTATGTAAGTATTTGTGATACGAGTTTTAATTATTAGTGATTAGGTCCATTAGGAGATTGACATGTTTATAGGCGATTGACCTTTTTGATGCTGTATTCGGCGAGAGTCAACGCAAGCTCAGATTGCAAAGTTTGAGGGGCCTAGAAGAAGCAACGAATACCAACTTGGACGAAGTGAACATGACAAAAAACCTGGGAACGAAAGGTAGTCCAATCAATGGAGGGGAACACCAAGAATACAGGAAGCAAACGGAACGATCCCATCGTGATATACTATCCTAAGCCCGCATTGGGTAATAAGAGCACATGGGGAATGCGTGACGTAATGTGGCGTATGGTTCATGATAGCGTTGGTCTCCAGCGAGTGCCCAGAATTCGAAGGTTGATGTTGGCAGGCATGTGATGGAATAAACGTCGATTGTAGTTCCTGGCTTGTATTGGTTGATGGTGAGATGCTGTTTTCTTGTAATGGTAATGGTAGTTGAAGCGTAAGAGGGTCGAAATAGTCGTAGTCGTTTAGCAGTGGTAGTTCCCGTGTCGCCGTGCTCTTCATCTTGGTCCGTCGTATCAGCCTGAATTCGCTTTCCACCAAGAGCCATACACCAATGCGCAAAATGACAGGCACAAAGTGTTTACCCTGGTTTACGCAGTTCAGGTGAGCCGACACGAACAGTGAATTTGAATGTGTGGCGGCGTTCATATATAGCGGCAGCGTCGACGGAGTTGATATAGGTGCCTAGACTGTGATTGGTTGAAATTAAAACAGGTAGGCGTAGGGGCGTAACATCAGGTGAATGTTTGACGTGTATATCGAATGGACTACCGCCGAGTAATTCTTTAAAATCGTTAACAGTTTGTATGGTGATGCGGGGCTCATCCATTAGAGTTAGAGCCTTGGCAACGAGGTCTTGTAGAAAGAATTGAGTGATCACCGAAGCGTTGTACAGTACCACAATGGCAGTTCTGCGAAATACGTTTGAGGAATAGAGACTTGCCAGTGGTAGTAGGACCTCCGCTGCCTTGCGGACAGGCTATTCAGCCAAAGGCTCGGGGTGGTGTCCCCTAAGTCAACACCCTACTTCGGCTTGGGCAACCGGGTAGTATCTCGCCCTCTGAGGAAACCATGGACATTGTTGTGTTGTGTTTTATTTTACTGTTTCTGTACCTTCGTTTGTATCCCATGGTTTCTGATGGCATTATGTCTGTTAGCAGACATTTGCAAATATATATATATATATATAAATATATATATATATATATATATATATATATATATATATAGTAGGACCTCCGATGGTCTTATTCATAACCTGATGAACGGCTTTGCAGAATTTAGCTTATCGATGTTATCAGCGTTTGGCGGTTGAAGCATCTAAGTATGGCATGAGATTCGCCCCATCGAAGTGTAAAGTACTGCTCAAGGATTGGCTTTCACCTGCACCCGTGCTCACTCTCCAAGGTGCACAACTTGAACAGGTTGATAGTTTCGTCTACCTTGGGAGCTGTGTTTCCGCTGACGGCACAATCAACAAAGAAGTTTCGCTTCGTATCGCTAAAACTCGATCAGCATTTGTCAATCTGAGGCACTTATGGCGTCGTCGCGACGTCTCATTCTCACTAAAGGGCCGAGTTTACAGCGCGTCCGTTCGCTCAGTATTGTTGTACGGGAGCGAATCCTGGCCGATTCGCGTGGAAGACATGCGTCGTCTTTCTGCGTTCGATAACGGTTGTTTAAGGAGGATGGCTCGTGTTCGGTGGCAACATCGAGTTACCAGTAATGACGTTCGACGTCGCGTCTTGGGGAATGCAAGTATTTCCTTCAACAAACTGGTTTTGTTGCGCCAGTTAAGATGGCTCGGTCATGTCCTACGCATGGCACCTGAGCGTCTACCGCGTCGCGCTCTATTCGCTCGTCAAGGACCTGGCTGGAAGCGACCGCGTGGTGGTCAGCCTTCCACTTGGCGGCAGCACATGAAATCGCTGACGTCGTGTCTAGCCGCTGTTGGACCCGTACGTCTTCCAGGATGGGGACCCAAAGATGGCGAGTGCCAATGGCTTAGGACACTTGAAGACATGGCCCGCAACCGGAATCAATGGAAGAATTGTGTACAGTGTTGTGTTGATTCACATGTTCAATTCTACAAAAATTGAAAATGACAAAAAAAGAGAAAAACCGGCGTGTGACAAACAAACTAAAAATGTTTTGTTCTGTATTTTTGTCAAAATATTCCATTTTCTTGCGGCATATTAGCTGAAGTGTGTTGCCCACCTTCAGCTAGCATGCCATGACGATTATGACGCAATGACTGTCTCTTATACACTGATATCCATGGTTTTCTTGGCTCTATGTCTAGTTACTAGACTGTTGAGATTACATACATACATACATACAGCAAGTAATAGGCTGTCATAAACGGGATCATCTAATGTAGTAGGATGGGAGCATACAGAGAAGTGATTATTTTCCTCAGTGTATTCCTCGAAGGAGATGTTTGTGTGTCTGTTGTATAACTCTTCGTTATAAGCTTCTATGCACTGTTTAGCGGTTTCCTCCCATTGTATACCAAAGTCTCTGTATAATGTAAGACGTTGTTTACGTGTAATGCGGCGTTTGAGATCTTTAAAATGGGTACAACGATGTGTTTCTATAAGTTCGTCGAGAAGGTCAAGACGCTTAGCTCTGTTAATGTTTTGGTATTCCGTTTTCCCCGAGTCTCGATTAACTTGAGCACAGCCTTTTCGATCAACAGTAGTAAGCCGAATATGGGATGCTAAATGTTGTAGCTTGTTGCCAATAACCTTTATGGTGTAACCAGTACGAGCGAGATACGGTGCGAATCGGTACCAGTCAACGATGGGCTGAATTGTTGTTAGGATGTCGAACATATAATTAGACGGGATGGATAGTACTTAGAGAAGACGTTGGAGTGTTCGGTTCCTATTCTGGGCCATGGTTTGGAAATCGGCATGATAGTGAGCATCATGTCGTATTAAAATGGCATTGATACGGTTATTTGATAGAATGGTTGATTTAGGTCCTCTGTATATAAAGGTCCATAGATTGTCTGTAGAGTTATTCTTTTGAACGACGTCCTGTAAAAAGACATTGTCGTCTTCGGCAGCTGGTGAAATGTCATCGGAAACTGGTGTAACAGACTGTGGTAATGTGTCAAGCATTTCTTTTAGATCGGTTTAGTTGATGGCCGAAATGCTGGTAGATGATATTGGAGCAGCACTAGTGGATGGTTCTAAGATATCGCCAATCATGGAAGAGGGTTAGTTACGTGGTTGTGAAACGTCCAAGTCCACGTTATATGCAGCTGCTCGTCTTAAAACATGACGTATAAATTGTGCGTGTATTTCAGCGGAAGATTTGTTGGTTTTTGGAACAGGTGTTTCGATGCCGGTGGACTGCATCTCACTGTACCATTTGTCGTGGAATTCCGGATCTTGTACTCGAAGCCGTTCACTCATTACCCAATGCGGGTAAGATAGTATAACGTTGGATCGTTCCGTTTGCTTCCTGTATTCTTGGTGTTCCTCCTTGAATGACTACCTTCGTTCCTGGTGCCATTCGTCCAAGTTGGTATTCTTGCTTCTTTTAGCCTCAAACTTTGCAATCTGAGCTTGCGTGACTCTCGCCGAATACAGCATCAAAATGTCAATCGCCTTAAACATGTCAATCTCCTAATGGACCTAATCGAAGACCACTGTTAATGGGACGGAACCAGCCAATGAGAGCGTTTTACGCTGAGGGCTATTGATTTGGCCATAAATTGAATGTACCGTTAGTTTGGACGTTAAGAAAAATATACTTGCCAGCCGTACGCCGGTCTCCTGCTTTGGGAAGTCGGGCTGATCAGAGTGCACGTTAGCAGCAGGTCATCGGTAGGTCAGCCGAAACCATAACATATATTTTTGGCGACGGAGGTGGGATCTTTTTTATAGCATCAATGTTTGACGGATCTGGACGTCTACCGTTCTTGTCAATTATGAAGCCAAGAAAATTAATGGAGTCCATGAAAAACGTGCACTTTTCTGGGCGAAGTCTAAATCCGTACTCTTGTATACGATCAAGTACTAAGTGCAGCTTTCTAAAAATGTCATCTGGGTTAGTTCCGACGACAATGATATCGTCCAAATATGCGGCAGCACCATCTACATCTGTTAGCATGGTATCCATGATTTGCTGAAAAATTGCTGGCGCGGACTTAACTCCGAATGGAAGTCGATGATACTGATACAAACCTCGGTGCGTATTTATCGTCAGTAATTCTCTAGAAGCTTCATCAACTTCTATTTGTAAGTACGCATCCGATAGATCTAGCTTGGCAAAACACTGACCCCCATTTAGTTTCGAGAACAAATCATCTGGGACTGGCAGAGGATACTGATGCGTGTTTAACGCTTCATTCAGCCCAGTAGAAAAGTCGGCACATATTCGGATCTGGCCGTTCGGCTTCTTGACAACCACAATTGGAGCCGCCCAAGAAGAGTAGTTCACTGCATAGATAACCCCAAGTTTCTCCAAACGATCAAGTTCCTGGTCAACAATTGGGACTGCTGCGTAAGGTACTGGCCGCTTTGCACGGAAAACAGGAACAGCATCGGGTTTTAAGGACAATGAGGCTTGCAACTTTGTACACTTACCAAGTCCTTCACGGAAAACAGGTGCATATTTCTCTCGAATTTGTTCGATTGCCATTGCCTTGGGGACTTTTGGTTTGTGTAAGTGTACACTTGCACAGATTTGATTAATGGGAACATCTAAGAGGTTGAATCGCTCAATCCAGTCTAATCCAAGGAGGTTCAAATTCTTGTGTGTTGTGACGAAAATAGTTCCCCAAGCGGTGAAGTTGGCAAAGCGACACTCACATTCAATCTGACCGATCAAGTTTAGACTCGTACCTGATGCGCTCTTCGCTTTATGGTTAGTTGGTTTAATGTCAGGTGAACCGATAGCTTTCCATAAGTTTTCCGTAATGACTGTAATATCGGAAGCCGTATCAATCTGCAGACGCGCTACTCTTCCGTTGATGGTAATAGTGACGAACTTTCTTCTATCTTTAACATCGTCCGTATAGTTAGCGTTTACTCTTGTCGCGAACCTTCGGTAACCTGCTTTTCGAGTATCACATGACGATCTAAATGACGTTTTGAATCTGCAGTGGGTCTCCTTGTGCCCCCGTCTAAAGCACCTTTGACAAACATGTTTGCTGAAAGGACACCATCTCACAAAATGCCATCCTCCGCATTGCCAGCAAGGTGATGGGGGTTTGGATTGTGGATATCTGCTAGGTTGATCGGTCGGTGGGTTGTTTCCTGAAATTTGCTGGACAGATATATCTGCGGAATGTGCTCTCGAATCTTCCACCATAGCCGTATCGTGCTTTACATTCATGATTCTTTGGGCTTCAGCAATGGCGCTTTGTAATGTAACATCTGTGTCGCGTTCCAACATACCAAGTATTCTCGTTCGTATCTCGGCGTCTTTTGGGGACTGTAGACTGCATACTAGTATCAAACACTCGAACTGGTCTTCCGTGAGCGACTTCAGTTTGAATTTCTGGCATTCACGTTTGACTATCGCCGCGTGAGCAATAAGACTGTCATTGTCCTTTTTGCATAGCTTTAGACAATTGTATCGGTTATTGAAAAGAGACGACTGGTCTCCAAACAACGCTGTGAGTCGAGCAACTGTATCATCAAAGCTGAAATCATGCGCGTTGTTTGGCAAAATGTAGTTAATGTATCTGTCATGTTCAACCGTTCCGAGTTTTCGTAACAAAAGGCGAACTTTAGATGCATCATCGAGATCTGACAACTCTGCCCTGAAAACATCTTCATAGCGCCTGAACCACGCATCGAATATTAATCCTGAGTCAGGATCGAATATGAACTCATTAACACTACTGATCATCGCATCCGCCGAAGGCTTCCCATTGTTCTGAACGACCGTAGGCTGCACAGATAA